ATATAATTATATTCATAAATCATCTTTGAACGTAAGCATTAGTTCAAAGCCTGGTGCATGAGTGCTCAATGAATGTTTGCTAAATAGATGAAATAATATTATACTCTGGTTAATGAACTGACATACTTATGCTTTGCCAGGAGTATCTGCATGTATAACATGCCTTTTGGTTGTGTACAATTAAATGCAAGTTAAACTGATTATTATAAAAGTTTAAAAATTTTAACTCCATACAAAACATCTCTGCCATGACATTAATTACCACTCCAAGCACCATGCATCTGACAGCTGCGTGGCAATGGCGTGAACAACACACAAAGCCAAAAAACAAAAGGGTCTAATTCAAATATTATATATACATATACGAGGTTCTCTGACTTTTGGCCCAAATTCTAGTATCCTTTGTGCAATAACGATTACGGTTCTTTCACTGAGTGGGTGCAGCAAGAAGGCAAAACTAGAAACTGAAGTTATGGGGGCGTCTACACTTTTTACAAAGAATATGCCTCACATTGTTAGGTTCCCTCAAGTCAAAGGAGAGTCTGTCTAAGGATTTTAGGAGTCACAATCTACAAAATCCTGGAAGTAACTAATAATCAAATGCATTAAACACTCATTTTAGTTTTTCCTGGTGTTGGCGTTTAATGCAGGGGAGGCAGGCAGGGAGCAGGAGTTCTTTAAACTGCACAGCGTAAAATGCCAGCGAGGGCCCGGGATGCCCAGAATGCCGCAGGGCGCGGGAGAGCTCTCCTCACAGCCTACACTGGAAGTGTACATAGCGCCTAGGACTGGGGTGCTGAGAAAGGGGGAAGAGCATTTTTGAACCGGGCGCCAAAGACGCACTGCACAGATACAGGAACTGACGGAAACCGAGGCGTTCGAAAGTACGTATTCTACTCCCGCCTTTCGGACACTGACCTGGGAGCCACCGTGGCGCCCGCTGAGGCATCGGTGCAAGCAGCGTGTTGAAGCCACAGTGGGGACCGAAGGGGACCGCTGCCCAGCCCCAGCTCCGACAAGGTACCCAGGCCGCCACAGTGGCCATGCGCGCAACCGCCATCTTCCCGGCTGTCCAGGCAAGCCGCAGTGTCCCACAGAAGCGACCCCTACGCACCGGAACTGAGACTGCGCATGTGCTGAAGGCTGGAAGGCGGAACTTGCTGAAGAGCGCCCCGCGGGATTTTCAACTTGCGAAGAGCGCACATGCGCAGAGCGTCGTGGCTCTTGCCCTTCCTTTGGGCTGTTGGTTCTACTTGTAGCAAGGTTTGGCTTAGGGCCTTTGGGATGTTTTGAGTGGCGTCGGGAGGCTGCCCTATCAGCGGGCTGATAGATAATACAGAGCTGGAAGCTTGGAAAGGAACCCTATCCAGCGGTCCTAGATCGGAAGCCGCAGTCTCGCCGACCGTATGACAGTTTTAACCAGTACCACAAATGCTCCCAATATCTGACATTAATCTCACCTGTATAACCTGGAATGGAATCGGACATTCCCTGCTGTGACGTAATGACTGATTAATGAAATATTGAATTATCTTGGTTCCTTCCTTATGCTATATGCAAAAGTAAATTTCAGTTAAAAAAAAAATGATTTCAACGGAAGAATACAACTGGGAGGATTAAATAAGTTTTAGGAGAATATTTTATAGTCCGGAAATAGAAGGGACTTTTTGAACCAAGATTTCAAACCCCAAGATCATAAATAAAAAATATATTTGTATACGAATTTAAACTTTTTGAATGGCAAAAGACACCTTAAGAGCCCAGAAAAATGGATTTTGTAGCATAGCTACATTAATATTTCTAGTTCAGCCTGCTCCTAGAAATAAAAAATATAATTCCAATAAAACTGGCCAACAAGTATGAATAGGCTTCTCATATAAGGAAACATGATGCTCAAACTCACTAAGTGAAAAACTAGAATTTAAAAAAGAAAACCAGGCCGGGCGCGGTGGCTCACGCCTATAATCTCAGCACTTTGGGAGGCCGAGGCGGGTGGATCACGAGGTCAACAGATCGAGACCATCCTGGTCAACATGGTGAAACCCCGTCTCTACTAAAACTACAAAAAATTAGCTGGGCATGGTGGCGCATGCCTGTAATCCCAGCTACTCAGGAGGCTGAGGCAAGAGAATTGCCTGAACCCAGGAGGCGGAGGTTGCGGTGAGCCGAGATCGCGCCATTGCACTCCAGCCTGGGTAACAAGAGCGAAGCTGCTCCATCTCAAAGAAAATAAAAAAGAAAACAATTTTCCCCCATTCAGCTGGCAAAAAGGAAAAAGAAATAATTGGCAATGAGACACTGACACTTAGGTATTATTGCTAAGAGGGCGAATTGCTAAAATTTGTTGTCAAGTAATATGGCAACATCTATTACAATTTTAAAATATGTATCATTTCCAATGCCCTTTAACACAGTGGCATGAGTTTGTGACTACCCTATAGAAAACAACACTAGTTCTTAATACTGCATATTATCTACTGTAACACCATTTTTAGAGGCAAAGAGAAGGAAAAAAAGTGGGAATGGCTAACAATAGAAAAATAGTTGAATAAATTTGTAGTAACAGGGTTTCCAGATTCCAGCTCTGAATATCTTTCAAACTAATTCCTGGGGGCCTCAAGCATTAACCAGTAAGGTTTTATCTAGTAGTTTCCTATTTAAAAGTTATGGTGGCTTGTGTAATACTTTGAGTAAATGTAAGATAGTAAAGTAACTTTTACTATCCTGAAGACAGCTAAGTAACTTTTACTATCCTAGTTATAAATTTGGGGGGCAGTAATTGGTACCAGAGTTAAAGGCAAAGTTTGGATATAGTGAATCCAGCATGTGTTTGCAGTCTGCAGAACCTGGACTGTTGGAACAGTCTGGAACAGTTAGAGAAATAAAGACTGAATAGATCTCTCTCAAGAGGTGGGATGCCTCTCATCTACTAATGACATTAGTAAGGACAGCAACTTGAATTCAGGACATACTCCAAAAGATGCTGAGCTATGTTGCCCATTCTCCATTAGACCTGTTGTAGACTCTAAGGGACTAAATCACTAAGATGATGCCTGATGCATGTCATTTTATCAAGCCTTGTATCTTTTTTTTTTTTTTTCCGAGGTGGAGTCTCATTCTTGTTGCCCAGTCTGGTGTGCAATGGTGTGAGCTCAGCTCACTGCGACCTCCACCTTCTGGGTTCAAGTAATTCTCCTGCCTCAGCCTCCTGAATAGCTGGGATTACAGGCACCCTTCACTATGCCAGGCTAAGTTTTGCATTTTTAGTATAGACGGGGGGTTCACCATGTTAGCCAGGCTGTTCTTGAAATTGTGATCTCAGGTGATCCACCCACCTTGACCTCCCCTGCACTGGAGATGTGAGCCACCATGCCTGGCCTATCCCTTTAAGATAAAAGGATAAGTAAACACAGTCCTAGCAATCCCCAGCAATAAATGTTATCTGTGTAAACAGACAACAATAAGATGTCAGATTTTTTCAGGGTTCATTTCATTTTGTAAGCAATAGGATGTAACCAGAAATAATTCTATTGAAATTCTTCAATTTATAGACTACAAATCATAACGTTAGCACACAACAATCTTTATGTAGTTCCTACAATTGTCGTCTGCAATTAATTCATACTCCATCATACTACAGATAGGTAACTTCAAAATAAGAGATGAGTTTATTTTCAAATGTGAAATCAGGTCAACATTTTAATCTAAACTCAATATATTTAACACACATATTTAAGAGGCTTACTACATCATGCAATTTGATTAGAGGACCTTTGCAATCCTATGAAGAGATTACAGGGCAGAAAAGTCATAACTTTACATTAACCAATGAAATCTTAACAATTATAGTCTTATATCACTACAGGATTTCAAAGTGATCGCTGCAAAATCAGATTTTAGAAATGTCTTCCACTATTATGATTTTTGTCCTTCACTGTTCAAGTAAAACATTGTGTCATCCAGTTGCAAAATATTATTGACAACATGTATATATGTATACGAACCACACTGCAAATTAACAAAAGAATTGTACCCAGTCAGGCCTGACAAAGTTTAATGAAGAGACATTTCTAATCTAATCATTTAATCTTCTAAGTAATATCATTATTCTCTACATCTATTCATTTGCGATGTTTTAGGAAAGAGCACATTCATACTTTCAAACATGCAAAACATGATAAACTAGAATAAATGGCACTTGAAAAACCATTATGAAAGAGACTTGCCTGAAGTCATTTCATCTGACAAAAATTGACTCAAAAAAACAAAGGTTAATTGTAAAAAAATACATAATATAATAATGCATTATAGAGAATGTTAAGTTGAACTTCATTTGCCATTTTGTAGAACAACACCACTTCTGCAAATAAGTATTTTAATTGGTCTGTTCTTTGGTGAAAACAGAGCTGTGATTTCATACCTATGTCAAGGGAGCAGTTAGCAGGTGTGCCCCACAACAAAAAGAAATCAGACAATCTAAAGGACACTGGCTACTGGTTGCCCTTATTCTCAGCACCAGGAATGGAGAAATCTTCAGCAAAACAAGCTCCTAATATCAGATATTCTCTTTATTTAAAACTGTTTAACATGACAGAATGCCTGTTGCATAACATGGCTTTTTTTCTAAAACAAACAGATTTTTGCTTTCTTCTTCTACAAAAAGTGGTTTGCTATATATATATATATATATATATATATATAGAGAGAGAGAGAGAGAGAGAGAGAGAGAGAGTGAGAGAGAAGCTTATACCAGTGGTGACACTGCAAAGTCAATTTCCTGGGCATTTGATGGCACTGAAATACCATTTTGAGATATTTAGAGCAATACTAAATGCAGTTCATCACTTGCAGTTACTACTGTTAAACAGAAGTCAGCCCAGGTCTTTGGTTTTGGTGCAGTACTTAAAAATTAAGGCAAAACTCCTCCTAAAATATATTTCCCTCCAAGCCCTTATTTGCTTGTTTACAAAGTAACTGTCAGCAAAATGCTACCTTTTTTGAAAAGCCAGTTGATTACCAATAACGTCAATGCCAATGATTTGGGTGCTAAAGTTATTCTGTATTTCCAAGTACATATAGATACTTTCTAACCTGTTTAGTTTATTTCACTAAAACCAAAAGTTGATTAAGAACAGTTTATATGAAATGTTCGTTTATCAAAATAGTGTTTTCTTTCTCATGGGAGCTTCAATTCTTTTGCTATTTATTGTCAAGGTTTGTATTAAAACCCTTTCTTTTTTACAAATAACTTCTCTTGATATGAAAGGAGTTCTGAGTATACACAGCTCAAGCGCTGGATCTGTTGGGTTTTCTCATCTGGGATTGAATATGGCTTCATTCTTGTAAGAGATTATTGCAGTCTGCCCTGAAGTGGACTGTTGCCTCAGTTCACTACAACAAGAAGTGAGTATAACCTTCTGCCCCCGTAACTATAACATCCATCCAGATCCGCATGGCTTCTGGTGATGGGGCTACCATGTAATAGATTCTGTCATGAGTCTTGACGCTAAAGGTGAGTAACGGATTAGGACTCTAAAATTCAGAAAAGAAAAAAGAATATAAAACAAACATCTTAAAATACAACATTAAATAACACAGACATGTGAAGACTTCTTCAAAATTTCCAATTTATTAAATTTACAAAGGCATTACTTTTGCTCTAATGTAACTTGCACCCCCACCCCAGAGCCTTTTTCAGGACTGACCGTTTTTCTGGCCTTTCTGCACAAGAAATCTCAGACAGAGCTCATGAATTATTTCAGCAGCTAGTTTGTAAAGCTCTAGCAGGGTACCTAGCTGAGAGTAGGAGCTTAATAAATAGTAGCTGTTATTCTTAGCCCTACTAAGCCCCCTCTTAACTATATGGTAGCTTCTTTTTAGAACCCTGGCACAGTAACTCTTTAGGGTTTCCCAAACCATTACATCCAAAATATTTCCTCAATTTGCTATGACATTTTTTTCCCTCAAAAAGATTAGCCATCCCACTGAACTTCATGTTTACTTTACCAGCATCATCCCGATCACATCTGTTATATCAGAACATCAACTTCAAACTGCTTAGACTCCAAAAATATTTTTCCCTTCTTAATTATGGATTCAAATTGTAGGAATTTAGAAAACTGATATTTACCTTATTAGCATTCTTGAGATGATCATAATACACTTCTTCAATGGCTTGAAAGTATATTACTCCTTTCAATTTAGTTTCATGCTTGTCTGCAAAGACAGATGAGTGTTAAATACTTTATCACCACTGAGGAACAGAAAAAATAACTTCATTACAATTACAATCATTAAAATATTTACGAAGTATTTAATTATCTAAGATTAACTCAGAGAACTTGGGCTAGTGCCTTAGGCCTCTTCTATCTATATTGGAAAAATAAAAAAAAAGCAATAAAATTACTAGCTGCAAACCAAAGAGACTAGATGACTTTGCCCAAGGCTGTCCAGCAGATTAGCAGTCAAAAGATAACCTAACATACTGACTTTCAAGTTAGCATGGAAAGTATAAACACTAATGGCACCAGTACAAATGATTTCTCCACATTTTCCAAGACTATCTTTGTCATGAAAATATTAATATGCAGATCTGTTGTAATAAAATTTTTACAAAGTGCTTTTTGACTTGTTATTCAAAATAATTTTCTACCTATATTTATTTCCTATCGAATTTCTTATTCAGGGTGCTTGATTTTTCCCCATTTTCAACAAAGCTTTAGGCCAATAATTTATGTCCTTTCAAGGTAACAATTTCCAAACTGTTTTCAAAGACTTCATCAGATTAACCATAAAAACAAAGAAAACCAGAAACAACGAAAACACGAATCAAACATATAGCACCACTCTGTGATAGTTCTTGAAATATTTTGTAATTTACACTCTGCAAGGATCACAGTGCATGTCAGCATAGTAAAGAATTTTAACAGCATGAATGAGGAGGCAGGGAAGGAGACTCTATTATACCCGAGTCGTGGAAGTGCACATAAGACAGCCTCTTTTGGAAGACAGTTGGTAAGGCAAACACAATTTAAAATGCAAAAATCCTCTAACCAAGCAATTGCACTTCTAAAACGTTACTGTATATAAGATCTCATGCACGTGCAAATAAATGTACATGGATTTGTGTTTGTTGTGACACAAGGTTGCAGAAGATCTGCTTTAGCTTTAATAGAAGACTGACTTCAATTACAGAGCAGCCATACAGTAAAATCTACAAAGCTACTGAAATGATGGAGGTAGATATGTATCTGCTCCTAAGAAAAAAACCCTTGAAATACTATTATATGAAATAGGATATGAGTAGAATGAATAATTCCGTCCCAAGTGTATAAAAGAAAAAAGAAAAAATATATATACATTTTAAACATATATAAAAATGAATAGAGAAAATCTGAAACAATATTTCAGGCTTAACAGTGAGAGATCAGAACTTTTATGATGGTAAAGAGACAACTTCATCATAAAAAAGTTTTGTTATATTTTGTATTTTTTACTAGTTTAATGTCCCTTTTTCTAATAACAACTACAAAAGGCTAGTCTAAAAAATAATGGCCCTGAAAAATTCATGGCAGGGAGTAAAACTATTTAATTGCATTTCATCCAGAATATCCTAACCTATTTGCCAATGGACCACATTTTTTGTTTTTCCTCTTCCTTGGGAAACACTGTTTTAACTGATACCATGTTCAGTAAGTGTCAGTCAGTTTCTGCGAAAGAACAAGGTCAATGTATCTCTCAAACATTTGCTGGAAATGATATTGCAGTAATTCATGAGAATATAATAATACTTTGTTTTCTGAAAGCAAATATAAAATAAAATCTGGAGATAAAAGTAAATCTTGTCCGTGTTTCAAGCAAGCAGAAGGAAACTTTAGTCTGTAGGGCACTTCATAGGAGTAAGAACTCTGAAAAATATAAGCCTCACAGCCACTTTATGAGCTAAGACAAGCAATAATCCTATTGTAAATCAATGAGATAATGCTACCCATTCTGCCTCTCTCAATATTATCCCATCAGTTTGCAGACATATTTTCTTGGACTCAGTTTTCTTTAGAGACTCTCCTAAAGATCCCAGTTAATAGGCAGGAGGACAAGGACAGAGGGCCAGGGCCATGAATAACACAGAGTCCTGGGACTTTACCACTCAGTGTTCACATTTGCAGCTCCTGCGCAAGTCCATGGCCCTTTCCCTCACTGACAAGCAGAAGGGACGTGGCTCCCGCAGGGTCAAGTCCAGCCTGAACTGCAGTTTGGATGACTGCCTTGGGACTGGTCTATTCCTGTGCCTGTTGTGTATGGGAAAGGCGGGGTGGGGTGGGAGTGGACAAAGCTGACAGCTGATGGCTATAAACAGAGTCGAATGGCAGCATTTGCCCAACTAGGTATCACTAGCCAGTTATATCATAAATACATATTAAAAAGCTGAATGAAATATAATTTTTGTCTTTTTTAAAAAATTAGAGTTCTGGGTAATTTTTCATATACCAAGAAGGTTTTGGCATTTTTTAAAAATCGAAAGTCACCAGAAGTTTCTATTTGGAAAGACACATTTACATGGGTCTGAAGCTTGGGGCTTAAGTTTGAAGCAGTTGGCCAGGGCATTAAACCACTCACCTGGCTGATAGATAAGGGAATGAAATAAGGCTCACAGAGAACAGGAGCACAGAAGAGTGAAACAGTTTTGTCTGAAGTTCTTTTAAAGTTGTTATTTTTGGAAAATTCTGGGTGAGGTTTTCTGAAGGGAATACCACATCATACAGTTTTGTTTATGCAGGGTACAGACACCAAATTATATTAACTGAAGAAAGTTGCTCTAGATATTTATAAAACCCAAGGTCAAAAAGCCCTAGAGAGGCAAAGCAGGGGACCTGGGAGGGCAGGCCATAAGCTTCAGGCCAGTAACTTCTGCAGTACCTGGAACCTCACCCAAAGAGCTCCTCAGTGAAAGGCAGGCATTCCCCTACTGGCTCCTCACCCAAATCCTGGGGCTCCTGAGCCACGCTTTCCTTTCCTCCACAGGCTGCTTGGTTTCTCACACTTCTCCTTATAAATATAAACTGACCTCACTGGACCGATTAAATGATTAGACTATTATTTACAGTTATTGCATTGGTACATTTTATAGCTCCTGGTGATGCTCATACATACTGATAGTCACCCCCAAGCAGGTTTTTTCATAACATCTTGTATAGCACCACTCTTTTTTAGCAGCTGAAAAGAAAGCAGAGCTATACTTGCATTAAAATGAACATGTTTCATATGTGATCCAAGAGGAAATAAGAGGTTCTTAATAAGTATGCCAGTTACATTAATATTTCTGCATTTATATAAGATACAGTAGGGTATGCTTCCTGTCAGCCAATATTTAAGAATCCAAAAATATTTCAGGCACTTAATAAATACTACTGATCACTAGTTTACCAATGAGCTTTACTCTCTGTGCTTAAAAGATCATTCTAGTTTATGAAGTATAGTTGAATGATGTTCAACTATGGCTAATTGTGTGTGACTAAAATGGGACATATGACAATCAATCAATCACAAACCCCTTTTCTTTTCCTGGTATGTTGGTTTAAAAGGCAATATTTTTTGGGATCCCACCCTATAGTGATAGTGCTTCCAGTATAATATTGTGATGTTTCATAAAATGCAGGGCACATAAGCAACTTGTTACCTGAAGAATTGATTAAAACAGAAAATAACAAATAAAAGGCAATATTTTGATCTAAAGAATAAATTTTACTTAATATTTATTGAGACCCAAGTTTACTTTAGAAGTAACATAGACCACGTTTTTTTTTTTTTTTTTTTGGAGACGGAGTTTCGCTCTTGTTACCCAGGCTGGAGTGCAACGGTGCGATCTCGGCTCACCGCAACCTCCGCCTCCTGGGTTCAGGCAATTCTCCTGCCTTAGCCTCCCAAGTAGCTGGGATTACAGGCGCGTGCCACCATGCCCAGCTAATTTTTTTGTATTTTTAGTAGAGACGGGGTTTCACCATGTTGACCAGGATGGTCTCGATCTCTTGACCTCGTGATCCACCCGCCTCGGCCTCCCAAAGTGCCGGGATTACAGGCGTGAGCCACCGCGCCCAGCCCAACCACGTTTTTTAAAGTAACATATAATGGGCCGGGTGCAGTGGCTCACGCCTGTAATCCCAGCACTTTGGGAGGCCGAGGCGGGTGGATCATGAGGTCAAGAGTTCGAGACCATCCTGGTCAACATGGTGAAACCCCATCTCTACTAAAAATACAAAAAATTAGCTGGGCATGGTGGCACGTGCCTGTAATCCCAGCTACTCAGGAGGCTGAGGCAGGAGAATTGCCTGAACCCAGGAAGCGGAGGTTGCGTTGAGCCGAGATTGTGCCATTGCACTCCAGCCTGGGTAACAAGAGCAAAACTCCGTCTCAAAAAAAAAAAAAAAAAAAATATAATGTTTATTATTTCTAGAAAGGAAATTCATATATGAACTACATAATCTAAATATAAAATAATGTATACAAATCTGATATTGCCATTAATTCTGCTACGTATCAACCTACCTATTTACACTGCATTTCAATTGCCTCTGCTCTTTAACAGAGGGTTCCTGATTTGAGCATATGGCTAAAATTTTTTTTATCACCCACCTGCATAATAAGAAAATGTTCGCTTGTTCCGATCAAAAACAAACCAACGTTTTTTCCACGTTTTAATTTTCCCTCCCATTTTGATGAGGAATCCTCGGCAAGTCTTCTCTGTGATTGATACATGGTAACAGGTGTCAATATTGTGACCAGCAGTCTCTACGTGGCTCCGCAAATCAAAGTCCTCCTTCCGGACAGGCAGGTAGCGTGTCAAAGGGCGAGCCTGGAAAAGTGCAAAACCCATTGCATCTATAGCTAATTATTCGTTTTGTTTTAGGTCACACATGTTGAGAGGCAGTAATTAACTGTAAAACCTAAGCTTTAAAATACCCATAAGATTAAAAGAGCTTAAGATAAAGCTTTTATCATTTGGAGTCTAAAAAGTGGATAGTATTTTCAGAAAGATGCTGTAATATGCAGGGGAGAGATAGATAAAACCCAGGACAATCGATTCTATTCCTTAAGATGGGCAGTTGAGAAAATGAAAAATGGTCATATATCTTAGTTTAAAAGATGTACTTCAATCTTAACAAACACAGAGTAAGGAAGCATAAAGTTTTCTGGGCTGCTCCTTGCAGATGAGGAATCCTCCACTGTAAAGGTTCCAGAAGTTGTCCCTGCCACAACTTAACAATCATTCTCCTTAAGTAACCTCAAGCACGACATGATTGACTGAACACTATTTAGTAAGTACAGCCCCCACAGGATCCCCCAAAGCTGTGCTTGTCAGTTTACATATATTCTAATAGAAATTGAAGGCAGACATTTATGTTTTGAAAAGTCAAACTAAAATAAAGAAAGAAGGAGAATCAAAACTGGATCTAATGTAATGAACTGTCTGGGACCAGATGCCAAAAGGAAGTATTTAGATGTCTTTTATGTTACTGATGGCTGGTATAAAAGTTTGCCTGATTTAGGAAGCATATATCACCATGGGTGATAGTTCTAAAATGGTGTCTTATTTTATGCTGTTAAATAATCCCACCTCTTTGCCTTGGGAAATGGCCTAATCATAAACTTGGAGGCAAAACTTACAATCAGGATTAAAGGAGAATTGTGTTTTTTCATTTGGCTTCAGATAGCAAACAAGCATGGATGACTTTTACTGCAAGTCAAAATTTGGTAGAGTGTTGGGCATAATGAAATAAAATAGACAAATTTTACTTTCTACTTTTCCTTCAATACTTAACCTTTGATTGTGTGGTACTTTGGTTGTAACAGATGCTACAGGCTTACTGATTCCTCAAAGCACACAAAGTCTTAAAGACAGTCTCTAACTGCTATGCTCTCAAAATGCCAGCAGCCACAAAGAGTAAGAGTAATGATGTTTTTTGCCTTTGAGTCCAGCGAGCCTTGATAAAATGGAGTTGAGCTTTAAATTACATAGTACTTAACAAAACTTTATGTTAGTTCCTCAGAAAACATATTATGTAAGCAGCTACAGTGGCAAGAACAGAGATTCAAATCCTGTGATGACCAAGTTAAGACATTAAACAAAATGTGTGGTTTCTCCAAATTTTGCTTGAGTACAACAAGCTTGTGCACAGGTGTTGAGGACAAGTGTAGCAAAGGGAACACATGTGATGATATAGTGTTTAGAAACAAAACAAAACAAAACACTACCACCGCCACCAAGATACTGGGCTTAGTGAAAAATTACCCTGCTCCAGATTATTTTCTTGTAAAAGATGGCTTAATACAAACTCTTCCATTCCCCAAGCAAAGGTTTCAGTTCAGATATTGTATTTGTTTACCCCAGCAAATCCAGCTGCATTTTTAAAAGCTGCTCAAAAAAGATTCTCTTTTCACAATGTACTCCAAAGGACGGGTGGAAGAAAAGGTGCTGCTCCTGGCAAAATATTCCATGCATGACTAAAGAAAAGTGTCATTTGGTTGGTGGTTCCCTAAGAGTTTTGAAATGAACTCACTTTTTTTTTTTTTGCATGGGAATGCACACTCTTCTCTCTTTTTTTGAGACGGAGTCACGCTCTGTCACCCAGGCTGGAGTGCAATGGCACGGTCTCGGCTCACGCAACCTCCGCCTCTTGGTTTCAAGTGATTCTCCTGCCTCAGTCTCCTGAGTAGCTGGGGCTACAGGCGCGTGCCACCATAGCAGGCTAAGTTTTGTATTTTTAGTAGAGATGGGGTTTCACTGTGTTGGCTAGGCTGATCTTGAACTCCTGACCCCGTGATCTGCACGCCTCAGCCTCCCAAAGTGCTAGGATTACAGGCGTGAGCCACTGCACCCTGCCACACACTCTTCTCTTAAACCTTAGGTGTCAAGTGCTAATGCTCAGTGCCCGGGAAACCATCCTGACACAGAATAGCTGTTTCCTAGAAACTGCCACCAGGGGGCAATCTGTCCTTATCCATTCAGATTGACCGACCAACCTGTGCCCTTTGTTTCTCCCTTATTTTTACTTCCTTTTCTATTAACTTCTGCCTCTGGCTAGTTTCTTCCTGTAACCGTTTTTCCAGGATTTCTCGGCGTCGTTTTTCTTCTTCCAGGGCTCGTTTTTTGGCTTCCATTTCCCGTTCCTAAACATTATGCATAACAATGATTATTTTAATATATACTGGTTATACGTGAATGGTTCTAACCAATATAAAAAAGAAAATTCTACCGAGACAATTCTTGGTTTGTAGACTAGTCTCTTATAATATATAACTTACAAGAAAACAACTCATAATCATGCCTGGTATAGCTTCCAAAATCATCATCTGCAGAAATGCAACCACTAAATTTAATTAACAATTAGATTTTGGTCTTCAGTGAAAATCCAGCTTGTGAATATATTCAGTCATTTCTTCATTTCATATTAACCAGCAACTCTCCCATTTTAAATAAAAAGCCTCACAAACTGTCCTCCGGCACTTAGCACGTGATTTAGCCTGTCTTTCAACTGCTGTCTTCTAACTGAGGGCCATGGTCTCTCTAATTCCTGTTGTTGCTCTGAAGCTTCCTGGCTGAAGGTCACAGAGGAAGCACATGGGGAAGTTAGAAAAGGAAAGGAGGTGCCCTTTAGGGCAGGATGCAAAGGCATTTTGGGGGATTCCTAAGGAAGTGAGACTCTGGCTTGAAATACAGTCATAATAACGTGGGATTTTAAATATTACAATAGTACAGTTAGCACAAGCTGGGAAGGAAGAAACGATGCATAAAGACATAGGATTCCTCCCTGATCCTTGGCAGGAACACAAAGCAGCCATCAAAAAGAAAAAAAAAAAACAACACAAAGTGTTCATTTTGGTCTATGTCAATACTATATATACATATATTTCAAGTTATGCAAAATCCACTTCAGTAGAGAGCCTTAGAAATCATCTAACATTTTTATTTTTCAGATAAGAAAATGAGATTGAGAAAGGCTGAATGATTATTCCAGGATCACACAGCTCCTTAAGGAGTATTGCCTGATGCCAAGTGCAGGGCTCCTGCACCACCGTTATCATAGACCTCCGGCGTGAAAATATGAAGCTTACCCTGGATTCAAGCAGCCGCGTCTTTTCTGCATGAGCCTGCTTCAAAAGTCTCTCCATTTCTTCTATTCTAGCAATATTTGAAGTGCTGGCACTGAATCAAACACCAAAGCCTTTTAAGAATATTGGTTTACACTAAGAAGTCTCTCTAATACACACACACACACACACACACACACGCACGCGCGCGCGCATACACACACACCCACACATACACACACATGCACACACACACACAGGGTCAAGGGAGGTGCATGACAAAATCCAAGCATTTATAATTTAAAGAATGTTACTTATGAGTCATTGGACTGGAAAGGCAAATCAACTCAACTCTGAAAACTGTAGGTGACACTGACTTACCTCAGTTTAGAAGACAAAATATAGGCAAGCAAAATAATGCCAATGGTTTACTCATAGGTATATGAACCAAAACCAAATCTTACAAAGTGTGACTTCTAAATGCTTCCTCCAAAGTCTAAAAATAATGGCCCCATGAGAGTCCTTGCCATTAATTACTTAAAGATATCAGACCAACAAGACTATCACCAATGTTCTATATAAATGACGCCTAAAGTTTGGAGTCATTTTATTCAGTTGGGGAATATGTATTACGAGCTGCTTTGCTGCTTTTTGTTGTCCCTTTATATGGGTGGACACTTTATTCCTTAAATCATGATGCCAATTAAAACATGACTTCTCCTATAGGAGGGATGGACGGATAGCAGCCAGTTTTGTAAAGAGTACCCCCTCATGATACCAATGAGGAAGCTGTATAAAGAGATTTAAGAGCTTCAAAAGAAATGATGGGAAAGATTATCACTCAAGTGATAAAAAGATGAAACCAAAGGGTGTGAAAGGTGCAAGAACAGTCAGGGTAAGTAAAAGACAAAGGGAAAACTTGAAAATGTTGAACACAAAACAGGAAATTTTATTTTTCACTTGCTTACATTCTATTTGACTGTTCTGGAAAAGAGAGACTGTAACTCAGATCAAAATGTATTTACTTTGCTGTTGCAGCTACGGGGACCATATGCTGTTTCTAATGTATGTGTCCTTGTATACTCATTTAAGTACCTGTCTTCTTTACAAGACCCTCTTGAGGACAGACTTTTGTGCCTGTGTCTCTGTAGCATAAAACCTGGCACAGAGTAGGGATACATGTTTGATAGACACATTCATATAAAAATAAATTCATTAAAAATTCATATAAAAATGAGAACCAGAGCCCTCTTGGTTATAGATAATTATTAGTATAGTATTCTCAAATTACATTTTTGCAAATCAAACCTAGGATGGTTTAAACCTAGGGCTAAGAGTTCTACTGAAGAGAACACAGGGCGTACAGTTTATCCTAAAATGAGTACTGACAGCCCCATTACAAAACATATCCATTGAGGAGAGAACTGTTTTAGGAATATCGGATCCTTGGCCGGATGCGGTGGCTCAAGCCTGTCATCCCAGCACTTTGTGAGGCTGAGGCGGGCAGATCACGAGGTCAGGAGATCGAGACCATCCTAGCTAACACAGTGAAACCCCTCTTCACTAAAAATATAAAAAATTAGCTGGCATGGTGGCACGCACCTGTAGTCCTAGCTACTCCAGAGGCTGAGGCTGGAGAATCGCTCGAACCCAGGAGCTGCAGGTTGCAGTGAGCCATGATTGCGCCACTGCACTCGAGACTATGTCTCCAAAAAAAAAAAAAAAGGAACGCCGGATCCTTACAAGCTTAACAATTAGGCTGCACTTTGCAGAGTAACCCCGAACCACTTTTTAGCCAGATGTTTTCTCCTATGAAAGAGAAGAACATAACAGTGTCTTCTCATTATTTCCATTAGCCAGCTGGGAGATACAAAAGAGTAAGTTCTGTTTTCTTCAGCTAGCAAGAATCCAAGGGAACAAAATCTTTCATTATTGTACAGGAATTCTTATTCTCCTTCATTATGAATACCTGACTTCACGGATGGAAAGGGATAAACTTCATTGGCCCAACTGAGAAAGCCAAAGACAGAAATGTAGGGCATATAAGGGCACAAAATTATATTTATATTCTATAGTGTTGTTTGTGACATCAAATATATATGTTTCATATCTCCCATTCATTTGAAAATAATTTGAATTTCACCAAGTTTCAGATATTGAAAACTCGCCAGTTAGTAAAAACAAACTCACCAATAGCCTAATCCCCATTTATCCCTTTGTTCATATAGTCAACGTTTATTTAGATTTCACTGTTTACCATTTTCTTTGCTTAAATGTCTTCCCTCCTCCCCCCACCACGAGCTTTATTGATTATACATATAATGGACAAATAAAAACTGTATATATTTACAGTATATAACATGAGGTTTTGACATATGTATACATTGTGAAACAATTACTACAATCAAGCTAATTAATGTGGCTGATGCCTGTAATCCCAGCACTTTGGGAGGCCAAAGCAGGCTGATCACCTGAGGTCAGGAGTTCAAGACCAGCCTGGCCAACATGGTGTTACCCTGTCTCTACTAAAACAAAACAAAACAAAACAAAAACTAACCCGTGTGTAGTGGTGGGCACATGTAATCTCAGCTATTTGGGAGGCTGAGACTAAATAATTGCTTCAACTTGTGAGCCAGAGATTGCAGTGAGCCAAGATTGTGCCACTGCACTCCAGCCTGGGCAACAGGGCAAGACTCTGTCTCAAAAAAAATAATAACAATACATTTATCACCTCACTTGGTTACCTTTTGTGTATGTGTGTGTTTCTGTGTGGTGAGGTACATCTGTTCCTTAATTCTTTCCATGATAGCACTATTGCAGAATGGTAATTCCTGGCAAACATTTATGTGTGGCCATGATCCTTTTCCATAGTTGTTTTACATAAGAATGCCTCAGTGGTGCTGGCAACTGCAGATAACTAATCCCCACGGTCAGAAACTACTCATAGTATTTAATGTCACTGTCTTATGAGATTTTCTGAATGTCAAAAAATTGAAGCCAAAATAGAAGATGCCTGTAAAAGGTCAACTGCAAAGGGGAGATAAAAACAGGCATTTCTCTTCTGTACCACCATCAAGTTAAAAAAAAATCATGATACTGTAAGATAAGCTCTTACCCATTATTATGATGGAAAATAAGTGATAAACATCAGGGAAGCAGGTAATGAAAAACTAATGTTTGGAATGTGTATTCTGATAAAGCATCCTTAATTGGAAATTTTTTGAAGATTGCTAGAAGGAAGAGTAAAAAACTAAAAAATCTTCTCTGCTTAAGATTTTTTTAAACTTACGTACTAAAATATCCCTAAATTATAAGCCTATTAAAGAGGTTATTCCATGCTGAAATTCTGGTTGCATAAACTTGGTCTCATGGTTTATTATGTCACAAAAAACATTTGTAGGATGACAGCATTATTCAGAGATGTGGGTACGTTTGCCCTTCACTTTCTGTTGAGACATCACTTTGTAACTACTAGAAAGTTACATGAGTCAGACAATGTTTTTGCTTTTTCAATATCATTATTTACAGTGTAAATAAATATGCTGCTCAGAAAATAGGCCTTGGGTCATAGAGAAGAGACAATTGAGAGTCAATTCTGCATAAAATCTCCATTCTGCCAAAATTATTAAACTGGCTTATTGAAGAGTATTCTGAATACCACCTACACTGATACTTATTATTAACTTACTAAGCCCTGATTTTGTGCTTATCCTTTGAGAAAATGTTAAGAACCAATACAGCCAAAGGCACAGAGATCTGAAAGGCCTTCATCCTCTCACTCATTAAGCTCTGTGAGGTGTATTGGGAGAATGAATGGGAGTTGGGCTGGACCTAGAATGCCAGGTTTCGGGATCTGACAGTAGTTAGTGGGACATCAAAGCTTTAGAAAAGGAGGAGTACCATGGCCAGATTTGTATGTTAAGACCACCTTTGCTTGCCTCAAAGTATAAATACAAATGTGAACACTTAAATCCTTACAAAAATTTTAACACACAGAATAGCAAAAAGCTTCCTTTTAACAAATATAAGAGTAAGAAATCCTTTAAGGCTTTGACTATTGTTGGAAATTATTTATTTTTTTTAATCAAAAGCAGTGTAAGTGAAGCTTGGAGCTAACCAGTAGAGGCAAATCCATTTTAAAGCACAGTGTAAATTTGAGCTCAAGTGGAGAAAAACAGGGTAAGGGCAGAAACAGACTATCTGATGGCTGACTAGCTAAGTCACACAAAATAAGAGAAACCACTTTCAAAGGCCATCATGATAGCAGCCTCTTCTGCATTACAGACCCTTTATGTCTGAAAAATTTGGGCTTGTGCATATACAGTGTCCCAAATTGATGGCTTTACTTTTTGTAACCGGTAGGCTCTTTTCCAAACCAGAACCCTTATCCAATAAATGAATCTTACCTAGAGATGTTGTCAGGTGAGCAAGCAGAGATGCTGGTCTCCATGCTATCAGAGCTATCTAGGCTCAAAGTATCAAAGGCCTGGTCCTTGTAGCTGTGATCTGGGTAATGGAAACTATTCAAGTAGACATTTGATTCAGATGCTGTGCGGTTGTAAAATTCAGATTTCTGCCTGTGTCCTTCACTCATCTGTTGGTGATTATAACCTAAGGGAAGAGCCATAAATACATTAGCAGGCCTCATTTTTCAGTCTTTGAATCTAAAACGTCTACACACTCAAGCCAGCAACGAGAAACATCTGCCTATGAAGCTTGGGCCTTGGTCTAATTTGTTTTGAAGCCATGAAGAACAAAGAAAGAGCACCATGCTCAGTGCAAGCAACAGTTTCAAAGAAGTGGTCTGCTGAGCACTCTTCCTCCCCAGTAGGATCACTTGACACTTTCCTATGACATTCTTACATCTCAGCACAACCCAGGATAATACAGTGACACACAGGAACACAAAAGAAACCAAACAGAAACACAATCGAAGGCCCTGAATCCTCTAGAAATAGCGTGTTCAAATGGAAGTAAGACGCCTCCTAATGACAAGCAACACCAGGGTTTAGGGCAGGTGCTTCTTCAACAATATTCGATTTAAGGAGCACTCAGTGTGGTCATAAAACAGCAGGCAGAATCTTTCATGTGCAGGATTTGAGAAACGCATGTCTCATACCGTCACTGACACTTTTAGTCTGGTTAAGATTCAAACTACACATTTTTCTTATTTTCTCTCTCTCTTTCTCAATTGTTCTTGTCTGTCAATTACTTATTTAATTCAGGGTCAACAATCCTTCCAATGATTGTGTTCCTCCTAATTACCTTAGCTCTCTTCTTTTCCCACCATAACAATCAGCCTTCCACAAGCTGTTGCTAATAACCATTTGAAAATGTGGGCATCAGTAGGACAAAAAGCACTATAAATAAGAGGTCTTTTCTTTACCTTGATGCTCGGTCAGCTGGTACATTAGGTTATTGGCTTTACCTTGTGTTACTGCTATGGCTTGCTCTCTGATCGGTGATTTAGGGAATTACAAGTTAAATTTTCTTCTTCCCAATTCTCTATTTATTATGTACTCAGGAGAAGGGGTCATATTGATTAAAAATTCCTCAATACATTAAAAAACTTTTCTTTAGCCAGAACTAGTGTTTGTAATCTCTTTATCTCTGATAAGAGAAACGTCTACTCAAATAGTTTCCATTACCCAGGGAGTTATTACCAGAGCTATTAAGAGTTCACAAGTGGACCCTTTGAATTTCCTTTCTTTTTTGTGCTCTACCTACCTTTCAATAAAAGCTTTAGTAGTAATGAAATGGTCGATAGTAGACAAGAGGATGAAAGAAGGGAAGTAATTCTCAATGGTTTTCTCAGTGATTGATTAAACATTTCCATTTAAAAATAGAAGCCACATCCATGATGCCTTAACAAAGCATTACATGTCAGAATTTCTGCAAAATAGTTTTAGTTTCATGCAGAGTGTTCATACCATTAGTATTTGGACTGGTTTTAGATATTTAAGTGAAAATAGATTATTTTGGATTAAGACATTTTTGGGAAAATAAGTTACCTTAATATAATTTGCCATTATAAATTATAAATACATACATTTTTTTTTAAAGCCACATAGCATTTTGCTAAGGGAAGATGTAAAACATAAAAGCACACCACAAGACTGGATTCAGTATCATGAATTATAATGATCAATGCACACAGCATTAAATGAAGCTGGTATAGTCATATGCATGAAGCTGCACCTTTTTTTAAGGAAGGCAAAATAATTCATTCCTCAAATATTTACCTTTGATACTTGAACTTTTGGAATTACTAATTGCTCCTTTTAAGTCGTTTCCAATTATTTATTATGCAAATGACAAAAAAAAAACAAATTATTGGAAAGGTCACACATGTATATTTTCTTATGATTTCAAAAAAAGGCTTGTGGCATAGAAAACTTTCACACTGGCACCAACTACATGGAAGATATTTCCTTGTAGAATGAAAAACAAATCCCTAAACGACAGCCGTGTAATTTAAAACATACAAGAATTATCTCTCTGGCAATGAATAACATTGGCACAACCTCTTCCTCTCCTTGAGTTTTCCATATTGAGGCGAAACCAACCCATATGAAGTAACTCCCACCCTCTTGGAAAAGCAGGAAAGAAGGTGAGCCCTCTCCTCATAGCAACTATATGTCTGCTCCTCAGATCTTCCAGGGTTGTGTTTTTTCTCTTTGTTTTTTGGTTACTTTTCTAAAAGTATCACAGAATAACAAAATAGAACTTATGAGTGAAGGAGACAGTAAACCAAAATGACTCAAATGTTTCCGGTGTATGTAGAGGGGGCAGCGACACTACCATTTGTACCGTGCTAAGGGTTGTGAACATTAATTCCCCAGACCAACTCACAAGTTGCTGAGGTTTGACTCTAGGACTGAATCTCCCAGCCATTGGTGGTAGGATAAGCATTTTACATTTTCATGGCAACTTAAATGAAAAAGCATGAGGTCAATAATAAGCATCTCTTTCCCAACCCAGGATTTTTATTTCCCATAAATCCAGTGTGAGTGGAAAAGTTCACCTCATGGAGCTACTCATTTCTGCCTACTGGCAATACTTTATTGGTCACAGTGAACCCCACTGTGACCTGACCTAGCTTCCTCCCTGCTGAACAAATCCCCCAAAACAGGTTACTCCTGCAATTATCAATAAGGGTATGGGCCCCTCTCCTGTGATCCTGTAATTGAACCAGTGTGATTCCAAATAGCTCATTTTAAGATTCAGGCTCTGGCCTGGCCATCCAAAGGCATAGATATTTTCAACACACAAAACACGATAGAAGATCAGGGGATGGGGCTGGGTAACCTGGTAGGAGGCCCAAGAAGAGATGCTGTCTCAGTGAAGGAACACCAAAATGGTGGTAAACTGGCCCAGGCCTCCACTCCCATGGAAGCTTTACGAGGAAGGGGGACACATATCTTGTGCACCACAGTTTACCCCCATTTATTTAGCATGTGGATTTCATAAAATAAACAGTCACTGAATAAATTTATCTTTTCATCTATAGATTCCAACTATATTAATGGTCAAATTAAAAAGTGGACTGCATCTACTTTTTGATAAGGAGCAAAGAAACTAGATTGGGAAAAATGAGACTTTCCCAACCCCTGAGACTATTTGGTTTCTGTTTTTTTAATTATGCAACAAGAATAACATTCAGCAGTGGGAAAGCAACTAAAACAGTAAAAGGGTCCTGGAAAATGCTCTAAATCTGTCCTATCCAGACAGAAATAACAGTTTGAAGGGGTAGTTTATAAGGTGTATAAAGCAAGACCTAATTGAGGCTTGTTGCTAATCACAGCCATACAAGGGGCCCAAACCAGCTCAGCTCTTACTGCCTGGGAGAGCCAAGAGACCAAATGTGCAAGGACTATTTATTATTATTATTTTTAAGCTGGATTCTGGCTAACTGGACCTAAAACATCTTCTGTGAGTTAATGATTACAGAATGTGTAGAGTCCTGCCAATACATTCCCAATATGTGGTATATACCTTTATACGGCTCTCTGGGCTGTAACATAGAAAGTAAGATGACTAAAAGCACAACCTGGGGTTAAGAGGATAAAATTAATGAGTATTTCTGTCAATTCAGCCTGTCATAGCTCACCTGCTGAGGAATTCATTCTTCCTAACGACAGTCCACAGCCAGAAGAAGAGGGCACAGGACAAGTCAGGAATGATGAAGGAGAGTGATGGAGAAAGGGAAAAAGACACAAGATCAAAAAGGATGACAAGGAGACAGAAAAAACATACAGCACTTGCAACATGCACTCACTGATGGTGTTAGTTACAATACCAAATTCACAAGGTATGATGTTCACAGTCTCAGACTAAATCTAAGTTTACAGAGAAAAACTCAATAAACTTAAAAAAAAAAAACAAACTTGTTACATGCATAGTCAAATGTTACAAGAAAAAAAAAAAAAACAAAAAACCTTTCACACAAATTCATCAACCAGAAAACAGGAAGAATAAAACAGATTACAACTATCAAACAATTCTTTTTCCAAACAGACAGTAGCAAATAAGTTTTTAGGAGCTCAGGTTTGTAAAACGCCATTCAATTATTTGAAGCACAGTCCATTAAATTTTATAACACATCGTCTAACATCCAACATCTCCTCCATCTCACCACAGGAAATAGCCATCTTACTTATTCAAGCCAATCATTTAAACTCTACTTCACTCTCCACTAAGTCTTTCTTAGAAAACAGGCTCCAATGGAATGAATAAGTAGGAGCTTCCTAAATCCTTTCACCTTTTCACTGTAGCCTGCCTTACTTATACCTGTCCTTGATAAAGGAGAATCATGGTTTATACTTAGCTCATATACATCACAATGCCCACTATTCTCTTCATCTAGATCCTGAATCTTACAAAACAATGCTTCTACAGCACTCACGTTTCCTGCAGGGCCTGACCTTGTGATTAAAATCCAAAACAAAGAGGGTCACGCAGCTGCCTGTGAATGAACAGCAGCTGCACCCAGCATTGTGATTCTTGCAAATGTACAACAATTTTTCTCTTATTGTGTAAAAGAAATAATCACTAGACTAAAAATCCACCATAGTACAGTGTTAAATCTGATCATTTCTTAAACATGACTTGACAATGACCTTTTAATATTTGCTGGAAACAAAAACACCACACAAGGAGGTTGTCATACCTTTCTTGGACTTTCCTGCATTTAACAAAAACAAAAGGACAAAGATTTCATTCATTCTAAAGCTGACAAAGGAATAGTTCACAAGTTGTTCAAAAGCCAATAACCATTCCAACTTCAGAAGCTGAGTTTCTCAGCTCTCTGTTTTAAACTCTCCTCTCAAAGTTCTTTGTTTGCCCGACTCACGCTGTCAGTTCTATTAACAGTGCTGATAGAGTGCGGCTTATACTTACACCATCATCCTTGATGTATCCATTACGAATAGCAGCAAAAAAAAGGCGCATTTAAGTTAATTGTGTAAGTTTAAAAGATGATTAGGTCTACTAAATGTGAATTAATGAGCATATGCCAGGTATAATTTTTTCAAAACCATGGAATTTTACTTGTATTTGCTATTTTAATGAAGTTAACAAGTACTCGTCAAACGATTCTAAACGAAATTATGATCCATCCTTCCTGGTTTTTGTGAGCCACCGGTCTTGGCTGTGTAGAAAATCCTGCCAGTTTTACAGTCTGCTGGGGCTCTAAGAACTATAGTCCCTAACTTCTCTGGGTAGGGGAGCCAAAGGCAGTAGGCTGCCCTTACACAACACATCTCCTTAGACCAACATGCATGTAATAGTTTTCTATTTCCTCAGAAGCTGCCCCATCAGCATTACATGAAACTCTTCCAGAGGAACAGCACTTTACAGTTAACAGCAGAGAAAGAGTGAAGCTGCAGTCTTCTCAGCTGCATAAAGGATATATCAATGAAGAACAAGAGCACAAAAGAAAAATCAAAGACAGATTTGATTTTGCAGCAGAACATCAGTAATGTGGCCTAAGGGAATTAGCTCAGTTTTCCTGTATGAAACTGGCATGGGACTCCCATTACTTGAGGGGAAAGTAGATTAGAATAACTGAGATCAAACTTTCCCTCAGTTTCACCATATTCTCACAAGAATCTTGTAAAACGATAATGGCTCCTGATTTTTGTAAATCTATTCATTTATTATAAAGGTCTAATTTTTCTTAGTCTTTTTTGTTTGCTTCTTTGGTTTTTTTGAGATGGAGTCTCACTCTGTCGCCCAGGCTGGATCTCCACTTACTACGAGCTCCACCTACTGGGTTCAAGCGACTCTCCTGCCTCAGCTTCCTAAGTAGCTGGGATTACAGGCCTGTGCCACCATGCCCGGCTAATTTTTGTATATTTAGTACAGACAGGATTTCACCATGTTGGCCAGGCTGGTCTCAAACTCTTGACTTTGTGATCCGTGTGCCTCAGCCTCCCAAAGTGCTGGGATTACAAGCATTGAGCCACCACGCCCGGCCTTCTGACTCTTTGAGAAAATACTTTTATTTATTAATTTATTTTTTGAGACAGGGTCTTGCTCTGTTGCCTAGGCTATAGTGTAGTGGCATGATCACAGCTCATTGCAGACTTGATTCCCAGGTTCAAGCGACCTTCCCACCTCAGCCTCCTGAGTGGTTAGGACCACAGGTGCATGCCACCTTGCCTGGCTAATTTTTAAATTACTTGTAGAGATGGGATCTCACTATGTTGCCCAGGCTGCTCAAATTCTTAACTCAAGCAATCCTCCCTCCTCAGCCTCCCAAAGTGCTGAGATTACAGGTGTCAGCCACCAAACCTGGCAAGAAAATACTTTTAACATGGAGTATAACAACTTGTGATCCCACCCTCTTTCCCAAATGCTTGCTCTTTCTCTTAAACACCTGAAGTACATGAAAATGCTTAATGGTCCTTGTTGGTATTGTGGCCAATCTAAGCTTTGATGTCTTCTACCTGTGGGAAAAACATATTTAAAAAGAAGTCTAATACAAGCTTGTAATCCCAGCACTTTTGGGAGGCCAAGGTGGGAGATCACTGGAGCCCAGGAGGTCGAGACCAGCTTGGGTAACATGACAAAGCCCCATCTCTGCCAAAAAAAAAATACAAAAATTAGCCAGGTGTGATAGCACATGCCTATAGTCCCAGCTTACTCAGGAGGCTGAGGTGGGAGGATCACTTGAACCCAGGAGGCAGAGGTTGCAGTGACCTATGATCACATACCACTGCATTCCAGCCTGGACAACAGAGTGAGACCTGCTCTCAAATACAATATGTGTGGGTGTAGATATATGTATTTATATGTAAATATTACAGAAAAACATTTAAACAGCAAATAGACTTGACCCACAACTTAATAGTGATAAGTGAGAGCCAAAATAGACCAATTTATGTTTATGTTTATTATTTATAAATGTTAAAAGAATATTTTGAGCTTAAGAAACTGGCAAAATAAAGTCTGGTGTATTTGATTCAAATATCACCATTGCAAATGTCTTTTATACACTATAAACCTATTATGAATACTATACCCTCTACTTTTAGTAATGATTTGAAAACCTCACTCCAGTTGATATAGCATATATACATATGCATACACATTACGTACACATATATAAACTCACATATGTATATGTAGTACATATGTATTATATGTGTGTGTGTGTGTGTGTGTGTATATTTTTTTCCCCGCTGAGGGAAAACCAGTGTTATCTCTCAGCACCACTGGCAGAGAGGCCAGACAGCTAGATTTAAATTCCAGCCTGCTTAGAGGGAAGGGTTTCAATCCCATCAATGCATAAATGTATTTGGAGGCCAAATGCCTGCCATCCTCAAAGCATTTCCATTTATATCCTGGGCATACCACTATTATTTCATTTACCACATTTTATTGAAATCATCTGTCTGTGTCCTTCTTCCTCACTAGATTATAAGTATTTCAAAGGCAAGCTTCCTGTCATTCATTTGCATTCTTGGTACCTAGCATCATGCCTGCTCAAAAGTTAGGGCAATGTAACTTGTTGACTTAAAACTATTGTGTAAACACGAGAAATCTAATCCTCTAAGTGAGAAGCTCAGCCCTGGAACTACATTACAGTAATTTCTTCTAGCCCTAAGAAGACTATCTGAGAACCCCATTATAAATGCAATGCATTATTACCAAAAAAAATGCTGAGTCAAAGTCTACATGAAACATAACAACTATGAAGCAGAAAGGCTCAAATCTACATTAAAAGGCCTATGAGAATTCCTTTCTGAGCCACTGGTGTTATATTTACCATGTCAGCTCAATGACTCTTTAGCACAAGATTCATTCAACATAGTGGCTCAGACACAACCCCGGTGAGTGTGATCTTGGTTAAGTGCCCTGGTAATCTCCTTGGATCTTGCTGGTCTCGCTTTTCTTTCTATTAATCAAATGGGAAGGTTAGTAATTCTCTAGGAGTTTTTTCTGGTTTGAGAGCTCTATCAAATCTATAAAGTACCATGGGAATGTTTAAAATGTACCAGCTATATGCATACATAGGAAAAGTTATATATCCCTCCCAAAAGAGAACACATTAAGAGTAAAATTAGGCCTTTGGTTGATCTCTCCTCTAACCATCCCCACCCTTGTTCTCACTTCCCTCCCCTGAAGAATACTAATGCTTAACAAAAGACCACGATATTTGATTTAAAAGGTACGTACCTCTGAGCATCCTCCGAGATTCTGAGTCTTTGGCCATGGCTGCCAGTGAGGGAGGGAGCACACTTCCACAGCTGTTACTCTGTCCTAGGGGCAGGTGAGCCTGCAGGAAGCAGGAGGGAGTACTTCAGGCAAGCTACAGGCTGAATGGACCTTTAGGAAATGGCCATATCCCTGTTTCCAAAGCTCTTATCTAAGTGTACAGGGCAGAGAAAGTAGGTCTTTGCGTTTCATTTGTTGATTCTAAGTTGTTATGGCCAGTCACTGGCCCTCCCAAGAAGCTCCAGGGTAGTCACAATATCACAGCACTTCCTCCAACAGCAGCAATTCCAATAGTGAAGACAGTTGGGGAACACACTGTGCAAAACCACCTGAAAGAATGGCTGAAAGTCCTTCATGCATAAGGAGCAGAGGGCAGATGCAGGGCCAAGAATGCATGCACACCATGCAAAAGAACAGGGAACAGCTACTCTTGTTACAAATGCACCCATTTTTATCTACCCTCAGTTTTGTGAGAGGCTGAAACTGAAAAAACCTATTGACACCCTAATGGTTTTAGCATTGTCAAAAAATAGCAAAATTCTTCATGTAGATAAAATACATTTGAAACACAAATTTATATAATAGATGAAAACAAAGTTACTCTGATTAAGTGCTGGGGAAGGGCTCAAAAGCTTGTCTTATTCAGAACCTCCTATACACCTGCCTCTTCTCTTTCCACAATGATCCCCTCAGGCATGTCAGCAGACCAGGAGGGAGAGCTCTGGCTGGGTGTCAGATCACAGAGGTCCACATTCTACTCCAGTACATACCAGTTGAGGGCTCCTCGGTTACTCACTTAGTCTTATGACACCTCAGTTTATCCATACCTACAACTGGGATGATAATCAATACTCTACTGCATAATGCTGCTGGATTTTCAAATGAGACAATCCACATAAAAGGCTCAACCCAGAGTCAGCCACATGAAAATGTCTGAATAAACACTTGTTGCTGTTATTCCTGGAACACAGAGGCTACATTCTATCTTATCTCCAGATGTGGGATGTGGCCACGAGGAGTCTGTCATGTAAGTGAATTCCATTCATCATCTGGGTCCTGCTCTTTGGCCCCAGAGCATACAATTTCAGGTGTCCTCTGAACAGGTAGAAAATGCAATTTAGTCCTGATGTCTAACAAGTAAATTTAATGAATTATTATTTAGCACTTTTCTTAAAAGGCCTTTGCACATCAGTGAATATAATGACAAGAAGACTCATGGAATGGGAAGCCCATGGTTTCTCCCGTGTCCTACCTTTGGGGTGATGCTTCTCCCCATAGTAGCACTGCTGAAGTGTGGGGAGATGGAAGATGTGGTTTTCTTTCGAGGCAAAGTATCACTCAGATAGAGGCCTTCTTTATGCTGTTTTTTCCTTTCTTCCAGACTTCTAAAGTGCTTTAAATGCAAATGTAAGGCAAAATAGCAAAACTTGACTAGCTGTAATAGGTAACTAAAGAAATGAAGAATTATGCATTTACAAAAAAAAATTTGGAATTTTAACAGAATTTTTCTTATTCAACATACACTGTGTTTGCTGTCAGACTTGAGCTAGTATGTGATTAGATCCTAAACACTGTAAAAATTTAGACTGAACCTAGAAATCTTTAAAATTCCACCTTTCACTTCTGTAGAGCCTGCCGCCTTGGGGCCTCAGGACAACTTACAACTTATTATGATGGTCGCCATGTGGATGGCAGAACAGCCCGTGGACAAAGCACATAGGCACCTTCTCCCCTTCTCTGTCTGGGCAGTTCTGTGTGATGGCACAGATACCAGTGTGAGGAGGGCAAGAAAGGGGAGGAAGGAGATAATGAAGAGAAAAAGCGAGTAAACAGGGAGGTTGTTTGAAAGTTATAATAATATTTCAGTCACATAAACACACTCAAAATCCACATAAAGTTTCCACAAAAGGCATCTTTTTAGGTTACTTTTGATGTAAAAAGACCTTGGCTAAGGAGCCCCTACAGTAATCTAATGGACTTTTTTTTTTTTTTTTTTTTTTTTCTTTTTTTTTTTTTTTCAGATTTTTTAGGCAAGACTTTTGTCCACTTGAAACTTACTCAAATTTTTCTTGGCCTCCACCTAGAAATGTATTTTTTTTTTCCCTCTTTTTGTTTTGTTTTGTTGTTTTTTGTTTTGTTTTGTTTTTTGAGACGGAGTTTCGCTCTTGTTACCCAGGCTGGAGTGCAATGGCGCGATCTCGGCTCACCGCAACCTCCGTCTCCTGGGTTCAGGCAGTTCTCCTGCCTCAGCCTCCTGAGTAGCTGGGATTACAGGCACGCGCCACCATGCCCAGCTAATTTTTTGTATTTTTAGTAGAGACGGGGTTTCACCATGTTGACCAGATGGTCTCGATCTCTTGACCTCGTGATCCACCCGCCTCGGCCTCCCAAAGTGCTGGGATTATAGGCGTGAGCCACTGCGCCCGGCCTTAGAAATGTCTTTAATAGTGAGATGATTTCTTGTTTGAGTGATGGGTGCACCAAAATCCCAGAAAACATTACTAAAGAAATTATCCATGTAACCAAACACTACCTGTTCTCCCTAGAACTATGAAAATAAAAAAAAGAAAGAAAAAAACACAAAAATGAGCTCAAAAATTTGCTGAAATATATTTGAAACATATAGATTAATAGAGGATAATTTAAAAGATATTCATATTCCCACCACTCAGCTTCACTAAATCTTAACATTGCTTTATTTTTTTAAAGAAATACAACATATATACATACATATATATCAAAGTGATTTCTAAATTAAAGATTCTTCAGGTCTGATCCTTTTAAAGTCATTTTAAAAGCTCATGCTTTTGAAATGCACAAAAATTAATGCTAATTTGAGTTACCGAATTTATAAACAGTCTTCAAATATGCCAATCATAAAAAATCTGCATTTTAACTTTGTAATTAACTGTTTATACTAGCTAATAAATTTATTAAGAGCTATGTGCCAGGTATGATGCTTTATGTATATTATCTCATTAAAGTTTTATAATAATCCTGTGAGGTAGGAACTATTACTATCTCTATATTACAGATGAGGACTCTGGGGTAGCCAGGATCATGCAGCTGGAAAGTGGCAGAGCTGGAATTCATGGCCAGGTAGTCCATACTAAAATGATAATAATACTTAACAGTCTGGCTGATTAGTGCTCCTTATAGATAGAAAAATGACATCAGAACACTTCAATCCAGCTCCCACTATGACCAAATATTACAAATTCTGAAATTCATAATTTTGCAACATTCCAAAATGGCAGCTTAATAAAATAGAAAAGAAGCCCAATGAAAACACAATCTAACTGAAATTTGGCAGAAAACAGCAGGTTTGTAAACTGTGATTGTTTTGTTACTAGAGATGTCCTGAATGAAGTTGTTAAAGAGATAAAGCTAACATCAAAATTGAAGACATTTAGGTCTTCCATTCTCCTTGTTCCTTCCTTGTATACAAAACTTAATGCATCCTCCTTTCACAATATCCTTTCATATCAGTCCAGATGGCAGTAACCCTAAGGCAGCAAGAGATAGAGTCCTTTAACAAATGGTAATCCATGGTAAAGGTACCTTCAAGAAACATAGGGCTAAGCATGACCAACCAGAGCTCACCTACATGGGGGCAATGACTCTTTAGGATCTTTTGGCACCAAATTCCTGTAGGTATTTGATTATAGTTGAAAGGAAGTCTCAAAACAGATTTTATTTTTGAATACTCGAGCATTAATATACACCGAGTGTTCTAAAAGGAAGGCAACATTTAGAGTTTAAAAAAAATTTATTTAAAAATCTGGTGAATAAAAACTGGATTTATGGACCAAATGCACTACTTGTGGTGTGATCTTGGACAAGCTATTAACCTCACTGAACCTCAGTTCCCAAAACGTCAATATAGAGATAATTTTTACTTCATAGGATTGTTAGAAGAATATAAAGAGATACTTGTAAAATGTTTAGCAAATTCTGACACAGTAACAAGGAATGATGTCTATTATGGTTTCAACTACGTATAATAAAAATATTTTCTGTTGATGTCATAACTCTTTATAATATAGATTTTATGGAAATGCTCATTAGTATTTTGAGAGAGATCTGAGAGAAGTTGCAATATTTTGGTTGAATGGTAACTGAAGCATGAGGGTATAAAAAGTGTTCAAATATATATATCAAAGCCAGTAGGGGATACTCAAGCTATCAAAACTTTACAACAATTTTAACACCCTTAGAACACACTAAATGTCTTAAGAGAAAAGAAAATCAGAGAAGTATGCAACTTGCCTTTTTAAAAATGCTTTTGGAAAAGTAGAAGCAAAGATTCCACATAAGTAACTCTGGTGTGAAGATAACATTCCCAAATTCTAAATACCAGTTCCTCATTACCTGTTGCTCCTGCTGCTGCGGCTGCTGCCTTCTGTGTTTCTTAGCTGGTAGAGGAGGAGGTGTGTCATTTAAAGGTAAAGGATCGACAGATGTAGCCATGAATTCAGGCCATGGGGCTGATGTATGTTGAGTGATAGGATGAGGAGAAAGGGTGGAAGAAAACACAAATCCAGAACAGACAGATGATCTTTGCTTTATAGGAGAAAGAAAAGGTATATATGTGTCCACACAAAATGAAAGAATAGGACATAGAAATGAAATTGACAGTTTGATTGTTTTGTTTTAATTTATTTAAGAAGTTACAAGTGATGGGCAGTATCTTTCAACTTAGTCTCTTATTAAAATCCCACACTGTAAGTGATTTGGATCACCGAAGGTATTTTAATATGCTATTATTGGCCACTCCTCAAGAAGGCTTTTAAAAGGCCTTATATTTAAAGCATCCACGTTACAGAACAAAATAGAAAACAAAGTCAAACTGAAAAGTCAATTCAAATCAACAATTTTAGAAAGGCTTTTTAATTTATAAGAAAACTGAGTTAGAGTGCTAAGACACAGAACTTATTTCTTTGAACTTCCTTCTCCTAGTACTCCACTCTGTAGCATAAATTTCATGGTTTCTAGGATTTTTATTGGTAGAGCTGTACCCCCAAATTGGTATGCTTTATAAACTCAGCCTTACCCTGCTCCCCTGGCCAAACAGAAACATGTGTCATGCACACTCTCATGGACCTCATTTTCAGTTGGCCGTGGGTTAATTTCTGACATGAAGAAAAGCAGTGAATGAATGAAACGTCATGCCTACACACCTCTTTACTCTGTGGCTGGCTCGCCAGCACAGCTGTGGCAGGCTCAGTGGCAACAGCATCAGCATCAGCAGGAAACTGAGTGGAAGGGGATAGATTCGTGGAATTGCCACATGGCTCATTAATCTCATTTACACTGATATAGCCCTAAAAGGAGGAATTCAGAAGTTAAACACAAAGAAAGCAAAAGCTGAGGCATGCGAGAGTATTAATGTTCCCAGTACAATGAAGTTAGCTTAGAGCGGCACAGCCAGATATCTGTGGTATTATCAAATGTTTCATTAAGAGAATAATCAGCAATTAAAATGGATTTACATTGCTTGATCTTGAAAACTGGCATTCTAAATATTAAACATAATTTTCTGATGAAATCAAGATAACTATATTATAAAGAACTCAACACCTTCTATTTTAAAATATCCATAGGTATCAGCATTCATTCTGTTGATGGATTAAGGTTGTCACAACATATATATTTAAAGTAATAGCACATCAAAAAAATCCAAGATGTAAAATTGACAAGGCAATCACTTACTCCCTAATTCAAGAGCCTTTTCCACAAATCTTCATTCTTAGGTTTTCATCTTTTTTGTTTCCTGATGAATTAGAGTGTGAGGAGAAGTGGTCTGAGAGCTACTGGGTTTTACACAAAGAAAACATTTATAAAACGGTAATTTATTTGTAATGGGTTCTAGCTTTTGGGCATCTCAACCAAATGAGAATAAAAAGAACACTGTCCTCTCATGCAGGTGAGCCTTTCCTAGCAAAACAAATGTGTGCATGCACAGACACACACAGACACACACACACAGAGTCCTAAGGTGGAGGTGCAACCATGGTATGTCTCAATTAAGGCAGCCTCCCTAACCTCCATCTCTACCCATAGGACAGAGAATTTCCAGTTACTTTTGAACTCAATAATTCAGTTCTGGCTTCAGCTTATAGAAAATACTCACGGATCAAAATATCTGAGAAGCAGAACTCCTGAATATATATCTGTGGAAAAGGCACTTGTCAATTTTCATGGAAAGTAATTATACAGACCATTCATGATTTTTACCACACCAATAAGACAGTGTGAAAAAATATATAAAACAACATCTCTCTTTTAAAGGTGACACTGAGTTAAATTGGACACATAGATTCTTTTGTAAGTCCATCAATCCTTTTACTAATTTCAGGCTGAAATCAAGGTGTTTTTTAGTAAAAATTTTCTAAGTAAAAAAAACCTTGGTTTTGGTAAAAACCTTGAAAGGATTGATAACGAAGTGGAGAATGCTACAGTTGATTGTTTATAAATTGGATGTATCAGGGATTTGCACTTCAGAAAGTAGGACAGATATCACGTAAAGTTTTACAAGGCTAAACTGAAGAAAAGAAGTAGTTAACTAGGTCAAGTTCACTGAGTATGTAATACTGAATCAGAAAGAAAACGAACAATTTTGGGTTTTTCTTTTGCTCATTAATAGTAGACTATTTCGAAGCCAAGTTTTAATTATTTATAACAGTCATAAACCATACAATTTAATTGATTGCTTCAAAAATGTAAACTGTTAGTAAAACCTGGGAGCTCTTTAAAACAGGTTATAATTAATCACCCCTTTAAAAAAGAAAGAGAAGAGAGAATGAAAGAGAGAGCAGAAGAAAAAAAAAGAAAAACATCTTGTGAGCCAAATCTGCTTGGTACATGAAAGTGAACACACAGCACAAAAAGTGTTCTCATAGAAACTCATTGCTGTACTTAACAAGCAGAGGAGTTGCAGATACACAGCAATAGTAAAACAAAAACAAATGTGCTTTTGACATCAGGATGCCTGCAGGAAATAAAGTACCAGCTCATTAACTGAAAAGGAAAGACTTCGTTCTTCTATTAAGAGAGGAAGAAACTTCAGAGCCCATCTAATTCCTCTGGATACCACAAGCTCTTCAGGCTCTTTAGTCCAGAGTCAACTCCAAATCTTCCCTCTTCAATGATTCCTTCCCCAGTCTTCCCTATCTCAGTAAAAGGTACTTACCATCTACTTCATTATTCAAACCGGAATAATGGCATGATTCCAGACACTTTCCTTTATTTCCCTTATTTCATCCCGACATCCAATCTATCAGCAAGAACTGTCAATTCTACTTCCAAAATACCTCCTAGTCCAGCTAATTCCCTCCATCTCTCTGCCATCCTCCAATTCAAGTCCCCAGCATCTCTACTGCAATCATCGCCACACTAATTTCCCTGCATCTCCTTCTCTTACTCTTTATGATTGAGTAGTCACAGAGCAGCCCAGAGTGATCTTTAACAAGTGGATAGCAAATGTCACCTCCCTGCTTAAAATCACTTAAAGGCCTCCCATCACACATGAAGTAGATCACATTTCTTTAACAAGACTCACAAGACCTGCCCCTACCCACCATGCTAACAGTAACTTAGGCCACAGCATTCCATTCACAACCACGCTTTTGTTCATTCAACCTGAAAGGTCCATGTTCTGAATAATGAAAAGAAGCTATGAAACTGCATGATCTAATAAAGCTTTGGAAGAAATATTTCACAAAATGCTTCTGAGGTACACATGTAGTCACGCTTATTATTGTGATGAGCATTTTACTTCATATACTTATACACACCAAAATATTTTCTATGTAAGATTCTTAACTCCACTGTTTAAATGTGTTTTTTGATTATGCAAACACTTATGCAGAAGCAAGATTTTCTTTTAGCTTTTTAGGAAAATAGTAAATATAAAGAATATAAACTATTTTTTCTCAGTTATAATCTTCCAAATTAGAGTTAAAATATTCTCCCAATGTAGCAATGAAGCCGCTGAAGATACTTGGGTGTGGGGGAAGTGGTGATGGGAATTGGGGAAAGATAGATACTGGAGATAAAGAGTGTGTACAGTTTACTATAAATAGGACTTTCCAGTTTAGAGGCGAAAATACCAGAAACAACAGTTGGCGGGGTGGGGGGGGGAAATAGAGAAAACAAAGAAACCTGACCACATTCTCAAGTGTTAGCAGGAATTTTCATGTTCTATAAGATTTGGGAGAAGGAGAAGTAAAATAAGAGAGGGGAGGGAGAAAGGAGACTCAGGAAGGAAAAAGGAGAATTTAAGACTCATCTTGGTCTGGATCTTAAATTTTTTGAAACACCAAATTAAGCTATGATGTTGTCACCCAACAAAGTAGACACACACGAACACACACACACACGAATACACACACACACACACACACACACACACACACACACACAATGTGCATCTGCATTAGATACAAGATAATCTCTGAAATCCTAAAAGCAACATAATGATAGGCAAGAAAACCATACAAGCATTGGGTGCTTTCATAGGTCCCATGAGTTAATATTTTTATTATTCAGCTAATCACATAAAGCTGAGATACATCTCCTGATTTCTAAGGCAACACAAAGTGACATGTAAAATCATAGCTTACCTCTTTTAAAGTATTGGGGTTAACGGGAAACCCTTTCCCCCCAGAGAGGCTGGAGTATTTCTTTTCCAAATTACAAAGGTTCTCCTTTTCCTGAAGGAATACAAAATCTATTAAACTTAGTCAACCTTGGATACAACTGAGAACCACAGTGACTTTGCATCAGAGACCAACATCAGAATCTGACATAGTTCCCCCGTTTCTATTTCCTCTCCTCATACTCAGTCAAAACTTCAAATCTGTATACTGGAGGTCATCTTCTGCCCACTGATATGATGCATGAGTTGTTTCAAACATAATTAGCTCTATAACCCAATAAATTTGGGTCACAGCTTGTTTTTCAAAAAAGAGTGGCTGCTCCATTTGAGGCAAGGATGGAAGAAGGAGCCCTTAGAATCCTTCTCGCCCCTGTCTTTGATTTATTTTCTCTTCCTTTCTTTCTAGGTTGTTTCTAGTTTTGTTTTATTTTATTGCTATTATGGAAAAAGCTACTTTAAACAGTCTTGAACAAGTTTTTTATAAAGACACCTTTTCATTTATATTTTGTAAATATCTAGAAGTGAAGTTGCTAGGTCATAGACGAATGTATGTTAAAAAAAACTTCTACA